AGAAAAAACAAAATTCTAATGAGATTAAACATAATTAATTATGGGTCTGCCTGAAATTTTACTAAATCACCTACTTTCCAGTGACAGGTTTCTAAGAAGGAAAAAATGCTACAAACAAATATGACCATAGGCCCAGTGACTGGAATTTCTGGAAACTGTAAGGAAATTTCTGAGCTCACTTGACAATCCAAGTCTGTAACTGCCTTGGCATTACTACAGTAATTAGAATTTTTAAAAACTTATGCCATTTCAATGTACAATCAGGATAAAACGAAAGAATTGTATTTCATCCACAAGCATTAAACCATTCAATTTCACATGATTCTAACTTGCAATGTATGGGAGTTTCCCCATACTTAATACATGCAATGCAATCTAGCATCTTGTGGCATGCTGTATTGCATTCTAAGTATGAAACAGTCCTAGGTAGTCCTAGAACAGTATTGCAATCACCAGGTGTATTACAAACATACATGCAACCAGAGTTACAAAGATCAACAAAGTGGAATTAGTGCATTGACAATGCGGAAAATGTGAATTTAAAACGAAAAAAAGGGAGGCACTTTTTTACCAAAGGAACGAGCTACCCAGCCATGTTGTTGAAGCTAATACTGTGGATTCTTTCAAGGAATGTCTGTAGGAAATCATTGGATCAATTATCAACAGGTTACCAAACAGGTGAGATGGGTTAATCGGATTTGCAATTGTTCTTATGTATACATTCCTTAATCCGTCCTTCTCAGTAATAGATATGTTACCTCTAATCAAGTATCTGGCCACCACCATATTTCAAACGCAACAAACACCGAAATAAACACCAGAATGGCTTAAAACAGACAGGATGCCATTCTGTCACTCTAGCTCTTGGATAGTTAGAAGCCGATTCATCTGAGGATCTTGACCTCCATTACTTTAAAGAAAGCAAGGTTAGGCTTTGCCTTCAACAGCATGGATGCATAGCTAATTCTGCCTTTGCACCAGACCTAGTGTAAAGAAAGTACCTTTTGTTCAGAGATTTAACATGCACTTCCTCAGTTCAAATTTGTGACCTCTGGTGCATGTTTCAATACAATAGTTTTGGTCTGGCAGTGACCATCTTTATTTGTAAAGTATGAATGTCAATGCTAGGTAACATTCTGGGATAAAAACTAAAGAAGAGTGTTTAGTAAAAAAATAAGACTGACTACATGCTTTTCTAGAACATCTGTCAGCTTGAATAAGTGCTATAACTCCTTATGGAACAAAGTCCATAATCTGCCTGAAGGTGAAGTGTCCAATCTTGTCTTGGAAACTGCCAAGCCATGTTGTTAAAGCCAGTTCCCTGGGATCCTTAAAATAATAGCTAAAAGTCTTTCTCAGATAAATAAGCTACAAGGAACAAAACAAACACAATGAGTTGAAAAATGCTTTCATTTTTTAATCTTTTTTTATTTTTTCAGTCAGTTTTGGAGGCCTGTAGGATCTTTGAGGTCACATTTTTGTTTCTAAACATCCAGTAAGATTTACTGTAATGGGGTTCCTGGCCCAGTCATTCATTACTAGCCCTGTTTGTGGAACCGAACTCCACAGGGACTACAGACTTCATCTGTAGAAAGGCAGAAAATTTCATCCAGGCTTGTGTAAGCATTATGATCCAGTCCATTCTAACACAAAATGGTGTCATACCACTCTCTGAAAACTGACAGCTGGAGAATGCATTAGAAATGTCTCTCAGGTCCTCTGAACAAAGTCAAGACTGAGCAGTATAAAAGACAGTGATATAACTGCCTTATAAATCACGAGTGGGTGATTATATACCAGTATTTCCCATACACGGGATTTACTAAACCAATTACTGTTTTTATCAAAGTACCGTTTCACTAAAGTAGCTTTGCCCAACACTTCACTTTATGCTCTTTTGACCTCTCTTTGCGGTTAGTCTCCAGGCAACCAAGTCTTTCTTCTTGTTTCACACCATTTAATCATCTTCTCACTGTTTGATCTGTCAAGAGGGTTTGAGTTGCTACCTATATTTCACTGACAGGTTTTGAAGATGTTTATCTTCTTGTTTTTGCAGTTTGTCAGTCTTCAAAGATTGCCCAGATCCTTTCATGACCTTTGAGATGTTTCTTTTTTCCTTTGACTGTTGGAGGACATTCTGACCTCCCCATCGAGAGTATACCAGCGTCTTTGCATCTCTATGTTCCGGGAAACCCATTGAGAGGTGAGAAGCCAGATAAACATTTTTCCCTCAGAATTATTACCTTGCTTTTGGCATATTTGCTTTAATGAGCAAAGTACATTGGGGAATAGCGGTTAGTGCTCTGGACTGAACTGGAAAATTGGGAGTTGAAATCCCAGGTGAGTGCTGCAGTTGTGTCCTTGAGCAAGGTGCTTCACAGAGGTTGCTCAAATAAATGGCTTGCCGTACAAAATGTAAGTTGCTTTAGAAAGAAATATGATCTAAAAAAAAGTGAAAATACAACCAACAATCATAATACAACTCTGGGACTCCAAGAATCTTCAAATTCATCATTCAGAATTCAACATTTCTCCTAAATCGACACTTAAAGATGATTAAGAACTATAGAAGGATTTAACATTTTTTTGGAACACTTCTGAATACTGAACTTCAGCTCACAGTACCACATTCTTTAACCTAAGACAATGAAGCATTTGTTCAGGTGTCCCTATTTTTATCTTACCTTTGATGCAGTCAGGATGGCTCAGCAATCGTCTAAGCTAATTTGTAGCTTGGACAAAACCGATTTCTGATAAATCTTTAAGTCATTAATCATTTAACCATGGAAAAGGTAGATCACAAGTCAGTGTAAAAGACAAAAATAGATTAGAAACAGCACTGTGGCTCCTTCATTGACAGACCAGAGAACAGCACATGACGAGGTAATTTGAGCACTAAAGAGACCAACTCTAGGTTATAGGACTTTCGTCTTAGAGGTGTGGAAAAAGTCATCACCTGGTTTTCACTTACAACAGGGGTTGTATGATTAACCTTCATTATTTGCTTGCAAGGCGAGCAGGTGTCAGGGTCTGAGATTCTGATTGTAAACTTTAATTATTTACACCTGCGAGCTTCTTACGCTATTGACCTTGAAGAAATAACCATTGGAGATTTCTTAAAACTAATTCAAGAACAAGGACTTTGAACTGACAACGCTATGATGCCAGAGGTAGTTCAGGTGGGTAGCTGCATCATCATGCGTAGGCTGCTTACCTGCTTGCTGCTACTTGTTGCTATGATGGCAGAATATGAGTATTTGGCAAAAAAAAGAAGCATGCTCTGTGACTTCTCACAACTGCTCCAATCCCATAGCTTTTTTTTTTAAACCTGGGTTTGTTTAAGGCAGTAATCTCCTAATTTCAAGAGGAGTTGAATAAAAAAAAAACAGCTATTTGAAAAATGCACTTGTGCAATCTGAAAATCTGGACAAATATCTCATCTATTGCTCATACTTTACAGAAGCCCTTTAAAGGAACAGAGTACCTCCTCCACCCACTGCCATTAGTCAATTAAAGCAAGGCGTTAATGAATTCCTTGCATCGGGTCATGCCTTTACTGAACAAGGTCCCACTAGGAAATGCCCATCCCCAGACATAAGACACAAGATAAAGAAATTAATGAAGACATGAATTGCTGTAAACTTGACCTCAGGTTGATAAAACATCTGAAAAGTCCATGTTTTGTTTAATCTGTTTCAGCATTTGTCAGGAAAAAGGCAAATGGCAGAACAATGGCTCACTGCCCCACACGCCTCCTTTTGTTCTTGCGCCCCGTGCAAGCAATTATTCTTGAGCCAAAGATTGACACACTCCTCCACTGGTCCTCAAGACCGCAGTATTATTGAACCTGGACTCAACAACACTCTCTAGCACAGGCACCACTCAAGAAGGGCCCAACATTGATATAGGATGACAATTCGAAAACAAAGATGGGTCTCAATTACAGATTCTGGAAAGCCAGGATACCCACACAACAATGGTTTTGTTCCACAGCAGCATCTATGCATTCTGAATAGGGTACACTGTAGCTCTGAAATGTGACAAGTGCAGAGACTTGTGTCATATTGCAATCAACCCCCCCTCCCCAGCCTCCATTAAAGTGTACTGGCGATTGTGCCTTTATGTGTCCAGGGGGAAGATTGAAAACCATATCATTAGTACCACGGCATCATAGGAGCAGTCCACTGATGGGGAATGCTACTAACAAACGTGGCCTGCTGTGTTTCTATTTTTCCCCAGGATAAATCGTAAAACCAGAGCTACAGAAACCTTTAGGAACACCATATTCTTACATGACTTTTTCTAGAACGTTAATTTTGTGACTGATGTTCAACAGCCGGTCTGAGTGATTGGGACTGCAGTTCCCCTTTAACATTATCCACGCAACCTGCTATTTAACAGCCAACTTATTTCTATCACTCACCCCAGCTAGAGTGCTGTGGATTAAGCTAGTGTTACCGTGGCAGCCGGCCATGCCTCCACTCACCTGTCAGTCAGTACCAGTTGCCAAGGATACACAGACAGGAAGCCTGTTCCACCTGTAGCCAGTTACAGCAGCTAATCCCGATTCCTGGCTCTTGCGTCGCCCTGACCACGTCTCCCGGATGCTCTCCACTTGCGGTCTAGTCAATAACGAACTTTACTCGTTTACCTCGACCCCATCATTGATGTTCCCTTTTTGTGTGCCTTTGCACTGTAATGGTCTGGGGTTTTTTACTTCACCTTTCTTTACCATGTCCTTGCATTTGAGCATTTGGCTGCCTGTTTACCTTGCCGGCTGCATACACCTCGCTGCTTGCACCCGGGTTCACCTTTTAAACCTTGGACTGCTGCTTTATTTCCTCAGAAGCCTCCATTCCTGTTTCAGCGTATGCTTGTTCTCGGAAATCGACAAGGAAATTCCCCCAAATTCCCTTAAGCTTACATCACATACTCAATACCTTGGTACATCAAGGAAGTGACAAAACATGTTAAGCAGCAACCATTCAAAACAAAATGGAGAGTTTTTTAAACAAATTTTTATTTTCACAATTTCTGAACAGTAATACCAAATATTCAACACTGACAGTACATCCTTTCAACAAAATCTAACATTATTCACAGAGAATCACTGGAGTTAAGAACAAGAAAAATAGTCTTCGTCAAACGATTAAGAGGAATTTTCCTATATAGCAAAGCCATCCTTTCAATCGTGAGAGATTATATTTTATATGAAATTAGTCTTCTTAACCACTAACTGTTAATGTTTTATTTAAAAAAATAATCCGTTTGAACCAAGGAAAAATGTGTTCCAATAAAATGCAGAACCTAAAAAAAAAAGGTGCAAAACAGCAGAGTTTCTTTTGAAAGATCTAATCGTGGCCGTGCAACAATGAATGTCCCCCTGCCCCAAGGTTCTTGCAAAATTTAGCTTTAGATGAATAAATACAAACTAAAAGACATTGCCGATATTGCACGCAGTTCAATAATTTAATGCAGGAACATTAGAAGAGCGTTAAAGATTACTTTGCATCAAGTGCTGTGGAAGTGACAAATTCCATTTAATCAACTGACATTCCCCCCCAACACAGGTTTGCAGTTTTCATCTGATTAAAGCCGTTACAAAATCGGAACAGCTTGGCAACCCTGTGTGGATTTTAAAGCCCAAAATTATGTCAAGCAATGTATGCTGGGGAAAAAAAAGCAGACGTTCTATTTGGACTGTACTACATTAACAATGACAATGCATCATGGCAAAATCACCTGTATACTTCCAGGTGAGCAAAAATAAAAAGGAATGGACACTCCAACAGAACTGCTCCTGTAAAACTAACCACAGGCAGCTGGATTTATCCTTAAACTTAAGAGCATGCTCGTGCAGCCTTGGAAAGCAGAGATGAGACTGATTGCAGCACAACTCAGATATGCATCACCAATCTGACCAATGAAAGATATCCCTGTTGCCACCGAATCCTCTGACTTATTGGGAAACCACTGTGGTCAGGCCTGAACTGGACACGAAACGGTGTTGTACAGCCTCGAAATTAAGACTGCGAGAAACACTGGGGCAACTCGGAGGATGTTTTTGTGCCTACAGTCTTGGTACAGGTTCAGCTTTGTTGAATATCAGTTGTATATACATGTTAAAGAGGAGAAACAGAATGTGTTCACAAAAACAGTTCATCCTTTATAAACAAAACCATAGGTAGTGTACCAGAAATGAAAAGACCATAAAACCATCTTTAAAACGCAATGCAGATTTCAACTGCAGTTCTGTTTCTACTACTTGAAGAAATTAACTGTGGCTTTGCTGAAGGTTATTTGGAAAGTAGAGGGAAGAAAAGTTTTGCAGCGGTTTCTAAGCTACTTTGGACACTCTGGTTATATTTTACAGCACGTCTCTCTCAAAGCTTTTCCACAAAAGGCTAATTGCTGCAATATCCATTTGTGGAAAGCCAAATAAATGTAACCTCTTCTATCGGGGCAAAAGGTCCCTTCAGCAAGAAGACACAACTCACTTGTTTCACTTTGGCAATAAAAGGCAAGCATCCATTTCTGGTGCACGATAACGTCAGACAATTTGTCATTCTAGACGAGAAGCAGAGCAATTCCACTTTGCCTTAAACAAACAGAAGGGCAATCTTTGTGTTCTGTATCAAAAGGCGCTTACATTCAGCAGACTAAGAAAACTGGGAAAAGTTTGAAATAAAGACACTTAACTTTAGACTTTGAAGAAGGGATCACTTAAAATAGGAAGAAAAAAAACTCCAGAATAAGCCATAACTTTCAAAATCAAGTGATCCTTATAATACTCCTTATATTGTCAAAGAAAAAAACAACTTTGAAATGTGAATACAGCTAAACATATTGCCATACATCTCTACCAAATATGGTACTTGAAATATGGCACCTTAAAAGGTACGTTAAAAATCAAAATAATAAAGTTAGAAAGTTCACCCCATTAAAAAAATACCAGATTTTATGCCTCCTAGTAATAGAAAAAAAAAACATTTCCTATGGATACTGCATAGTAAAAAGATGGCATGGCTTATCTATTAAGCATTTTTTGTTCCTTTACAATGGAAGTTAAAAAATAATCAAATAAAAAAAATGTATACCAAAATATCACAGTGCAATATTTTACAAAAAACAAAATACATTTCAGTTTAAAATTGCACCATATTGAAGGGTTGTGAAAAACCATGTGGGTTTTTATAGAGGACCTCACTGCATCCAAGTTTATTCATCCCTTTGCTGATCCCTAGAACATCCATGGTCCAAAAGCACTGGGCATTTGTCAAACAGAGCTTTCATTGTTTATTAGATGATTGTGTGCCATCGAATGGGAGGATGCATCTTTAGGAATGAGATCCACATTGTAGCCTATCCAGAAGAGGTGTTCTGCCCCCAAAACAATCCGTTCAAAAAGCATCAATGATCCATACATTAAAATGGAAAATTATAATTACAGTATCCCTTTCAATTTGTTTTTTTGTTCCCATTTCAAAAATAGTAACACTGGAAATCAAGTGAAAGCTTCTTTCATTTTTGTGTCGACAAAAAAAAAGTCTTTGGTTTAAACATCTCAATTTCATGTTTTTGGAGTTTGCATGTTCCTGGGTTCGTGGGTTTTTATGGGACACTCCAATTTCCTCCCGTTGCCCATAGGCAAAAAGGTTAGGCTCAATGGGATACTGTAGCCATCGCTAATCATGAAATTTCACATTTGGGGATGCAAGCTCCACAGTAAGCAACTGAGCTCAGTGGAGTGTGCGACCCCTCTCACATAAAGCCCTCCTCAAAGACATACCATCGTATGGTGTGGGAGCTCACCCAGAAAGAAGTGGAAGAACCCGCTAGTGTTACTAAAATATTACATCTATTCACTCATTAGCTGGCTGCCCACTCCGCCATCGAGTTCCCTCAATCATTGATATTATCGGGCATGTGGAATATAATTCAACAGGGTTTAGCAACCCTGGCTCTCAGAAACCAGGTTCCAGCAGGTTTTAAAAGGCACCATTTTGATCAAGACCCCCAAAACACACCTAACTCATTCACTTCACTGGTTCAATTAAGTCACCAAGGTCCGAGATGGAATGAAATCCAGACAAACTCGGCCCTCCGAGACCAGGGCCTGCCCCAGTTACTGAATCTTTAGATTGTGCACACCACTCAAGAGGTGCCAAAGGTGTAAATGGTCCCAAATCGTCATTTTCACAATTCAGAAAAAAAGTGAAAGACGTACAGAAATGGTGGCTTACATACTTCATGATTGATGCTCTACATTCACACTATTTTACAATGGCAAATACCAACTGAACTTCCAGCCAGCATCATCAACATCATCCTTCACCATAGGCTTTTTACTGGCACTCCAAGAGATCACCAGCTGCAAGCAGCACATATCCTGCCCTTTTAATTGAGGTTTGTTTTCCCCTTTCCTTGCTGGGTGATCTACCTCACCATAGAATGGTAGACTGTTCATGACCAATTAATTATACAAAGACAAGCTCAAGAAATACACAACTTTCATGTTCAAGTTTTACAGGAGGAGTAACAAAACTACTTGCTTTTTTTTTTTGGACAAGATGCATATGCCCAGGAAATTCACCAATTTGTTTTGACATTTCAATTGCTGACACTAAAGGATAAAGAGCTTTAATCTTCCAGGAAATAAAAAAAACAAATGCCACACAGATCCATAAAACAAGGGCTCACTGATACCTTAAGAAAAACAAAGCAGTTCTAGGTATCATGCAGAGAGGTTCTATGAAAACGCCACTGTGGTTTAAAAAGGTTGAGCTATAAGCGGTCGTATTTCGATCACAGGAGAAAGATTTACTTGTAAGATCTTTTGGGCTTTTCGTCTCACTTCTTCGTCTGTAATCGAGTCATCAACTTTGATTACCTTGAACCTGAGATTGTTCTCGTTTAGCCCAGACTCATCCTGACCATTCCCCACCCACGAACCATTCCTAGGTCTCGTCTTCGCAGTCGGCTCTTCTGGTTCCTCTAGTCTTTTCCTTTTCCTCACCTCCACATCCGGTTGACAGTTCAGCACCCTGACAGAATCTTTATCGCTCCATCCTAGTTTGTCACCTGGTGCGTTTGTTTTGCCAATCCTGACGGGAACCATTTTGTAGCTATTACTTTCTTTCAACACCCTGTCATTTTGACATGTGACTGTTGTAGAATCACCCACTAGGGCCACCGCCATTTTCACTGGGCAGGAACTTACACGCATTTTGTCAGCCTGTGGTCCCTTTGATGTTTTACCAGAGTTTTCCAAAGGTTGCGCCGATGTCCCTGTTGGCTTTGGCGCCCAGTTAGAATTGGGCACAGAAATCCCCAGCGACCCTAATTCCGAATGGATTTGTAGCCTTGCTGTAGGGCTCCCTGAGGGTGCCGTTAGTTTTGTCAATTTCAGGCACGGCTGCATTTTTGTAGAATTAACCACATGAACAGTGGAAGCCGATGGTTTGGAAAGCACTGCAACTGTTCGCTTCAGAGACTCTTGTGAAAGGTTAGTCAACAGGATCTTGGGTTGATTCTTCAATACTAACTTAGCTGCAGCACTCAACAAAGCATAATTGATTTCTTTTTTCTTGGCAACAGTTTTTCTGGCTCTTTTCTTTACAGGTTTTAATACTTTTGTAACCTTACCAGTAGTATCTAAAGGCTTTGACATCTTTTCCACTGAAGGAGTTTCTGCTGTGCACGACTCGTAACCATAAACGTCTTTGCTCTTCAGAACAGTGGCCTTATGACCCTCGTCTTTGAGTCCCTGAAGGAAAGATACAAGCTGCGTCTCAGTATCCAGAAGGTCCTTGGACATAGGACTGAATACTCTTAAGGCTTCCAAGAGAGCTGTCTGTCCAGCTGATGTAATTCTGGACCAAGAATGAACCGCCTTCTTCTCCACAATATCGTCTTTACTATTCATGGCATAAGCCAATGGCCGAGCTACATAAAATCCTCAAAAGTCAATTGTTGAGATCAGCCCTGAAAAAAAAAAGATAAAAAATATTAAGACTCACTTACATGATGGTTTTATTATTTCAAGGACGTTTCGGAGTATCAAATTTTGTTGGTTCCAGAATTTCAAAGTGGGATGTCCTAACCAATGGGTAAAGACATCACAGAAGTCAAGCAAAAACTCAAAATGACAGATGAAGAACCATGTACATTGACTCATGAATTAAAAGCTTTAAGAATCCATAAATAACAGTGGATTAGGAAGAGAAAACTAGTGAACAGAAAAACAGGAGTACCACAGGGATCTATACAAGGCTCCCAGTCTCTTTTTCTGATCTTTAACAATGCTTGATGGAAGCTTTTCTACCAATAGAAACCTTAAAGATTGATATTTGTATACCGGAAACTGGTTTTAAGTTTAGGTTTAACATGGGCTGTTAGACAACATACACTTGCCAGACTTCTGTTATCAGTTTTTTTTTTAATCAGATTCAGGTTTTGAATTTCCCTATAAATCAGGAATAAACATCACAAATTTTAATTCCTTAAATCCCTCAAGATCCAGTTCTTTGACATTTTAGATAAAAAAAAAAAGATTCTTTAATCTGTTGACAGTGCATAGTAGGCTTGTGGCAAACAAAAAAAGTTCAGATTATTGAACTAGTGAGCTGCTGACAAGCAGAACAGGGCAAATAACTGCTTCTTGTTTGCAACACCATAAAAGGTTTAATGATGCATTAATGAATGTTTAAGTTTCAAACCAACCTTGTTCTGTGTTAAAGCATATGGAACACTAAAGCCAGACAAAGATCAAGAACCACAAATAAAATGATAGTCACTAAAAAGCAAGTCCAGTACAAAACATTATCAAATAAATTGTTTAATTGAACTAACTAAATTAAAAAAATTAAGATGAAACATAAGGGGATATGGTGCGGATGTATTTTGCAGGTTTCATTTTAAAATCACCAATCAGCCTAGCTGCAAAGAATGTGCTTATTCACAAATTGCCTAAAAACCTAAAGCAAACCAGAAAAGAAAGCTAGCTAGTACTGGCAGTTATAAGTCCATGATGGCTCCAATCTTTTACACAAAGCCCATCTGGATGGCAGGTGAAAATTCTGAGTGCTTGAAATCAAATGTGTATCAACTTTGCACCACATCCATCCAGGATTTTCTGCAGCACTGGGAGACAGCCAACCACAACTTCCAATTTCTTAAAATGAGGCTAAAATAAAACTGTATATCCATGACTAACGTCATCTTTCATTTATCAGTCTTTGCACATATGCTCTTTTGCTCTAAATTCCCCGATCAGTCAAGTAAATTAAAACTTGTTGACTGAAAACCAAAGAATCTCTCCACAAATAGCCACCAGAAAGTTACAGAACACTGCATTTGTCCCCACAGACCATCAATACATACAATTCTTCAGCATCAGGGTGACAACTCCAGTGGTGCAGACAGCATTTACAGTCTCATCTACAAATTCGGATGGATCCAGTTTTAACGTAACAGTGCTGCGATGGGAAAAAAACAGTAACAATTGGAGAAGGATGCATTTTGGAGGCAATTCCGGAATGCTCTTGGACAGCATACAGTAATATGCATTCAAAGAACAAGGGAAGTATGGCAGGAACAAAACCCAGGGGGCAATGCTCATAACCCAGTCATAGTTCGTTCAACTTCATGGCTTGGGTCATGCTCCAGTACAAAATAACGTCCACCTCCACACTGCACACTTTGTCTAACAAGTTCTGCATCGGCAACAGAATTTCACTCCTTCTATGGCCAGCTCATCAGCCCGATTTGTTTCCAATCCAACAAGTGGAACAGGGGGATTTTTGACAGACTTCGCAGTCAATGCTAGCTATGGGCCTGTTACTTCCATTTACAAAACACACACCCTTGAGAAAGACTTGAATGACTGACATATACAGATGCAGCCATTCGAAGTGCGCGGTACAGACACGTACCGGAGGTAATTGGCTACGACGTCGCGCATTTTGACGTTTATACGTTGACGTATAAACGATGAAAAGGTTGTTTTGAGTGTCTTAACATTGTCTCTTTGCTGTATTTATTTGCAGCTGGGAAAGTTAACGACTATGATCTGGGAATGTAACAGATTTTTTTTTCTCCATAATAGGCAGCAGGTTATTTGTTTTCACTGCTTGAGAGGTATTGGAATGCTGCAAGCAAACATGCAGCTGTAAAGTTGAGCAGTTTTTAATGTCATGCTTTTAAGAAATAAAGCCTTTAGACAATTAGGAGGTACTGGTATTCACAAGGTAGAAGGTGGTATTTTCAGAGGCCTAAAGGGAAACTGTTATACCTAATTATTAAATACTTGATGGGACTTTTTTACTGCATTGTTTATGTATGATCTGTGTATCTCAGCTGAAAAGCTGAGATAAAATAAGATGTATGCATCTAAATAACTGGACCTCAAATAGCAGACCTTATGAGCAATACTGTGTGTATTTATTTAAAATATTTA